CAAAAACCATGTAACTTTTCAGATCTTTTTAAAAACATATATATATATATATATATATATATATATATACCCCCATCCCAACACATCATAATGTGTAGGTTCCCCAGAACCATACACCCAACCCAACACATCATGTAAGGCCCTGAGCACAAAGCCGAGGAACCGATAAGTAAGGCTCTGAGCACACAGCCGAGGAACCTCCAAGTAATCTTCCTCCAACAATACCCCCCAATAAAACATGTTCCGTCAGTAAACGGATATATAAAAAAATCAAAACATAATTCAAGTCAAGTATCATATCAGAATCCAGGTCATGTATCAGATTAGAATCCATGTCAATATCATATCAGAATCCAGGTCAGGTATCATAACATAATTCAAATTTGAAATCAGATAAAATATTCATGTACTTAGGGAACACACCAGAGTTTACAGGGTATTTTTTAGAGGTACTGTATCAGGCAGAGAAACACAGTTCTTCATTATGTCGATAGAATGTTGGAATTTAGAATCACTATTGGAAGAGTTCGTTACCTGACAGAATCATCAGTTATTCAGAATGTGAATTATCAGGATATTATCTTATTCGTACAGTTTTCAGAAGCTGTACGTAATCAGAAGGGTATTTAGAATCCTTTACATCCATGTCAATTGATCGGATAATCGAACAACTTGAGAACAAAGATTCAGAACCTTAACAATCTATGTCGACTGGTCAATTCATTTTTCTTCTAGGGTATTTACTCTTTAATACCACAAATTCTTGTTCGTAGACCATTTTCGGAATCATCGTTGAATAAATCTTCCAATGTCTTTATTTCATTTCCACGCTTCCACAATATCATGAAATGCTGACGTACTTGATTAATTTGTTCATAACCCATTGTAATTGTACACTACGTAAACTCATCAAAGTTTCCAGGCTTATCCAAATCACTTATTAAATCCTCAGTCATTGAGGTTACCTAGTTCATTTAGCAGTCATGTCCATTCCAGTTACTTCAGGATTTTCCAGAGTAATTCAAACGTTCCTGAATTTCAAATACATGTTGTACTTCCATTCCATTCAATTTGGTCTTCGTGGTTGATTTATCGAACCAACATCCAATTCTTAGTACTGAATACGATCTAGAGCTGAGCTGAATACTTCCAAAATTTATCATCGAGCCAAACTTGAGAAGACGAATACATGTTCCAGTAATATCTATGTCATTCAGGTATTGACATAGCTTTAGGGTTGATCTACTCACTTAAACTATTTTCCATTACCTTTAAAGGTAGTCCAATACATATGCTTACTTGGATTCCTTAATTAATCCAAGACATTTACTTAATATAGGCCATAAGGGTATTTTGGTCATTTTGGTTTTCAGTTTTATTCCAATCATAACAGAGCTCAAGGATATCCCATCATTCCTAAGCTTGGTGATATTCTTGGGTCATTTCCATTACAGGGGTAATTTGGTCATTTTACAGATCCACGGTATTTCAATCTTTTTCCTCAATCCGGTCTTATTATTTAATTCCAATTTATCATCTATTCCAGTCCGTTCGAACAATTCTGATAAAAGAGCACCCTCCAATAAATTATTCTTCAGGTATTTACTCATAACTCGGATATTTTCGGGTCAAATGCCTTCTCGGATTTTACAAACGCAATATTATGAATTTTTCTTTACAAAGACATAATATTAATAATTAAATTTGTACTTAATCGAGTTAAGTACAAATCCTCAAAGTGTATTCTCCTTCAGGGTCAACTCTGACTATTTTACCTCTCAAGGGCATTTTCGTAATTTCTTAACCAGATAATTTCGATATTATCTCTTAACGAAAATAATATAATATAGAGATCCTATGATTAATTGCTTCCTCGAACATTCTTTGATCTTGAAATGATTCCTTAAAAGACTTCTAGTATCTAGTATAAACCTTCTTGGGGTTTAAAATCGGTTATCCATAATTTCCAAGTAAAACTAACATTTCTTATGCACATCAATAGTTTTAGCAGATCAATAATTCTTTTCAGATTTATTAATCCACTTCCAGGGACAATTCTTGTCATTTTCCAACATAAGGGTAATTTCATAATTTTACCTAATCGAAATATTCTCATAATTTATCATCTAAGTTCCTTTAATGAGATAAATTATAATCTACATATCCATGGTTGATTCTTTTATCACTTAATTCAAGAACTTGTAATTTAATTCCAACTGTCCTCCAATTTCTTATAATAATAATCTGAGCCATATTCAGTTACCTACTTTCTACCGTATTTGTATTTAGTGTAGATCTTCATTAATTATACATACGAGACCAAACATTTCCATTCATACATTTACCAATACCAACATGTTCTATAAAGCATAAAGAGGTAATAAAGTATTACCTCGATTTCTGTGCAATACTGACCGACCATAAAAATTCCATTCGAACGCCTTTGATCTTCAATTCAACTTCCAATAATTCCTCAGATACATATCAACATAAATTATATCAAAAACGGAGCTTAATTACGATAAACGGATCGAATCGGGTGATAAATCAGTGAAACATAGCTTACCGGGTTCGAATTTGGTGAAACAGACTTCGGATTCGGATTCAGGACGTCGAAAGCATAAAATATGACTTTTCAAAAATTTGGAATTTTCGGTCAAAATCAAAGTCAATGGGTTTGACTGAAAATTTAGAGGCATTCGGGTTCGAATTTCGAAAAACGGACAACGAAATCGGATTTGGAACGTCGAAAAATGTCAGGATAGATATACTCGGTCAAAGTCAAAGGTCGTTTAATGCCCGGTAAAAGCCAGTCAAAGTTTTGGTCAACTTCGGTCAACGGGTCGGGTCGGGTTATGACCAGTCAAACCGGTCAACTATGCACCAAAACCGGTCACTTTTGTCTTCCCCACGCGTAGTGGCGGCGCGTGGGGGCACTGTTCACATCGCGTGGGGGCGCGTGAACAGTGCCCTGATATTGGAAAATTCCCGAAAAAATTCCTAAAAATTATTTTAAGCGATTTCAAGATACTTACAAAGCTCGGTTCAAATTTTTGAACTGCGGAGAGCTCGATTTCAACGAATCGGAAACTTTGACCGCTTTACCTCCTCACGCGCTGCCGTCAATGGAGACCAAAGATGACACTGGCGAACTCGAAACGATGCAATGAACACGATGGTGCAGGAGGTGTCGTAAACGGATGACCCGATCGTCGTGAATCGATGAAAAACCAACTAAAATCGAGTTATTACCGATGGTACTTCCGACTGAAATTAACGACGAACGGCGACGATTCACGACGAAAGGTTTGAGGGGTTTTGTTCCTCGGTTGACAACGAACACGATGGTGGTTTCGGCTCGTCGATCGGAGGTCAGACGGTGAGTAGATCGGAGTTGAAAGAGGGGTTGACAAGAGAGGGAAAACTGGAAAAATTTCCAGAAATATATGGGAGATCGGGGGTTTATAACATCTCATAATTAAAAATGGCTAAACCAAGAGTTTAGCCACTGAACTTCCTGCACTTCATAAAACGATCTGCCAACTTTAAAATTTTGTAATTTAACCCACTGTTTCTTTCAAAATACCAAATTAAATCCACCACTTTATAATTTCTTAATTTTAGCACATAAATTAGGGTGTTACATGTTTTGTTATATCAAAAAAGGGGGGGGATTGTTGAAAACATTTTGATGTTTCGATATAACAAATTAAATTAAAAGAATTTTAATTTTGAAAATAATTTTTCTAAGAATATTCGATATATTAAATCGAATATCAAAATATTACTCAAAGTATTTCAAAGTTCATTTTAAATCCTTACTCAAGTGAAAATTAAGTTTTAATCTTAAAATAATTTCAAAACGATTTTACAAAATATTTTGAACCATTTCAAAGCCAAAAAATCCAGATTGCTCAGAGGGAACCGATTCCCCCCAGGGGGTACCGATTCCCCCCACTATTCAATGGTCAAAATATTTGAATTTTACACTTAGGGAACTGATTCCCATTAAGGGTACCGATTCCCCCCACGCTCCAAGCTGTTTTATTAATTGATTTCACATTAAAACGGCTATATTATCTTCACTAATCATCCCAAACGTTCAGAAGTGATTCAAGGTGTATTTAAGCAAGCTTAGAAGCCATTGATCAATAAGAAGAAATATCAAGCAACTAGAATCAAGAGAGAATCAAAGAGAAAGCATCAAACCTCAAGTTAGTTCTAGAATTGTGCAAACATATTTGCCTTGTGAGGTTTTTCTTGTGAGTTTGCAAATTTGTAATCTTCTCTTTGAGAAAAGAGTATTCTCAAGAATTGGGGTATATTCTTGAGGGAGTTATAAGGTTATCTCTTTGGCCTCAAAAGAAAGAACAAATTAGTGAATTTGTTGGAAAATCCTTGTGTTGATAGCTAAGGTAGTGGACGCGACTCTAAATCGTTATGCAATTACTTTCAATTTTCTGCAAAAGCTTCCATAATTTTAATTGCCAATTCACCCCCCTCTTGGCCGATTCCGTCAATCGATTAACTCAACAGGGCTCCAACAAACAACGAAAAGCAAGAGTTTTAGTCATAATAAGACTCTAAGTCGAACCTAAAAATAAGATTGTAAAGCACTATAAATAAATGAAGAAGCAATGTACCAAGGGGGATGATTCTTCTGTAAAATTGGAAACTTGTTTCCTTGTTCAATTAATACAATATGGAAAGAAAGCAATAGCCTTTTTATAGATAATGATCAAGCTTTGAAAAATGTTATGTCGATTTGAAACACATCAAACAATCAACATATTCAATCGAAAACAAATATAAAGAGGAGCACACCCAGACGAGAAGCAATAGAAAAGAGGAAGAATAATTTTCATGAGGTATTTTAATGCATTTTCGATTTCCAGTGTATGTGATGTGTGTGTTTTAATTTGACATAAGCAAATAAAAAAAGAAAACCTTCTCTTTCAATTGATGACATTTTTCGGCGACCGGAGTCTTTATTCGCTAATATGAATGGTGGGAAGTTTCATTACGATGAGACGAGTAACATACTTCGGAACCAAGTCGATCTAGCGGTGGACCGTGACGGATCGGAGCAAGAAATCCCAAACTATTTTTGGCTCTTTTGTGGCAATCTGAGCACTTTCTGGAGAAATAGCCATCGGATTTGGACTCAGGCTATCGAAACGAGTCACCCTGTAAATTTTAATAATGAACAGACACTGTCGGCAATGACGATAGACCGATGAAGATCACTGGAACCTATGGCCGGCTGTGTAAAGAACGAAAAATTGCCATTCTGAAAACACGCACAAAATGAATTGAGATACAGACAAAAATGTGGAACCAAAATCAGAGGAGGGAGGATAGATGCCACTGTGAAACAGAAAAATGAAAAAGAAAAGTTATTCTGGCCGTAGGATTGCTTGTGATCATCAGCTCTGATTGCTTTTCTTTTCTTAGATCCATCACTCCTCCATTTTTCTCATCTCCTCGTTTGTCCGTCTCTTCAATTGAGCAATACTATAAAGAGAGGGTCTTGCCTTCAATCATTCATGATACTTTGAAAGCCGTTGTTGCTCAATACAATGCTAGCAAGCTCATCACTCAGAGAGAGAATGTTAGTAAGGAAATTCGGAAGATTTTGACCGAGAGGGCAGCTAACTTCAATATTCAAATTGATGATGTGTACATTACAAGTCTGACTTTCGGGAAGGAATGCACTGCTGCAATTGAGGCTAAACAAATGGCTTTTGCTTTTTAACTTGTTTATTCAAAACATAATAAGCCCACGTGAAGTATGCCATGGGTTTATTTTTTTTTTCTTTTTGTAACTTTTTTTTTATTTTATTATTTTTTTTTAATTTCCCTTTGATTCATTTAATATTTATTTATTATTTATTATCTAACATTTTTGACTTTTTAAGGGTACATTTTCCAATCGATTAGAGGTAAGTAGTTCGAATCGAATATTTTTAAATTTTAATTTTAATTTTAAATTTTCGCAACTAAGGCAACCGACAAATTAATTGGTACCGAAAGGGCGGTTCAAGGGTGCTAATCCTTCCTTGACCGTAACCGACTCCCGAACCAGACACATTTCTGGTATAATGTAGATCAGGTAAGATAGTGTCTGATCTACCTAATATCGCTTTAAAATGATCGGTGCCCACTCAATTCAAGTCTAAGCCCAATTCTGGGCCCACCCGAAAGAAGGTTCTGACAGCTTGGCGACTCCGCTAGGGACAGGTAAGTGAGTCAGGCCATAATTAATTTTCGGTTGTCTTTTTATGCTAAAATATTAAATATTAATTTTAATTTATTTATTCGATTTCAATTATTTATCTTTGATTATTTTTCAAGTAAATAGTTATACTGGCGTTTTTTAATGATTTCAGATTTTCCAAATTTTCATCTCAGGCTCTATACCCGAGCTCCAAACCCTTTTAAGTGGGGGTGAAAGCGACGCCTTCGTGGGAATTTATTCTCCGTATGGGCCTAGCAAGTAACCTTCGAGATTTATATACCTTATGTCTTCGTGTGAATTTATTCTCCATATGGACATAAGGGAATGTATCCTCTCGAGTTTAACTTAGTCCACACAAGCCTGTGATGGGTTTAGGACTAAGGGTCTGGCAAGCCCAAGGGGGCACTAGCAAGGAGAACTCGGGAACCTTTCTATAGAACCAAAACTGGGAGACCATGGAGAATTAGAGCCCACCCCAAAACCTCATTGCAAACCTTAGGCGTCTTTGTTTCATGCTTTATTTTCTGTTCAAAGAATGCGAACTAGACAAATATGCGGTTAAGATTTGTTTGAAATTAGCATGCGGGAAAGAGATCATGTCCTGGTAGGAATTAAAGCATGTGGGGTAGATATCATGTGGGGTAGGTTTTTCATTTTTATTATTGTTTTGATTTACCTAACTAACTCTTTTTATTTTTTGTTCTCTTTTATTTTGTTCTCATCATTCGCATCATTAAAAGAGGTTGATCCACTAAAAAGTGTTTGTTAAACATGAATAATCTGCATAATGGACAAAGGGTTGTAATACAAGAGATGAAGAATGTAGGGGTCCGACTATGGTTAGAAAAGACTCGTAAAGAAAAGGATGACAATCTGCAAGGCAACTGTGTGCCACATTTGATCAAGAAGACGTGGTGCCCACAATCAAGTACATCAAAAGTTAACTTTTCAATGGGTTGACAAAGGTGGCAGGGGCAAGACGAGAAATATGTTACTAACCTCGAGTCCATTCAAGAGACCACAAGAACAAGATGGCAAGTTACTGTCGACAAATTCAAGAAACAAGCAAATGAACTTCGGATAATTCCTTTGATGGAGGATTTCAATGGAGTTTCCGATTCAGCAAAAGATGAAAGCCAGAGACGCAGTCATTCGATACTTTTGGGAACCAGTACAAAAAACAACCCAATATTTTCACGGTTCATCCAGAGAGGTCGGAGCGGTTCGACAGGTTATTCAACCGATGAAAGACGAAGGCAAATGACTAGTCAACCTGTTCCGGGTCTAGAGGATTTAGTTCGGATGTCCCTTTAAATATGTTTATTGTCTCTTAAAAGATAAAAACTTTTGTCCCAATAAAGATTATTAATAACAGATATGTTTTTTGGATCAATGCCTCGAACATTTCATGCATTTTTACATTTTGCATTTTGCATCTACATTTCATTTTTAAGCATTTTCATAAACATGAAATTTCTTCATGGAGGATTCGATGAAGTGGTTTTAACCACATGACACCACATGGAAGCAAGATTGTAACATCAAAAGAAAAAAACTAAAATCACAACGAATGAGCCCGATCAGCTGGTTGTACGACTAAGCCTGCCAAGATGATATGAGAAAAGAGTCCACATATCCTAAACGCTACGATGTTGAAGTTGTTTGCAGTTGCCACATAGGATGCTCCAAACATTCCTCTGAGAACTATAAGGCGCTGAAGCGCGAGATCCAAAACCTGATGGGTTCAGGGGCATGGACAGCCGAAGAATGGGGCATTGCATATATCATTTGCACTTAGAGGATTTTTTTGTTTGAACACGTCTTTTATCTTTCATGTTTGCTTAATCTTTTAAACGATTGAATTTACGCTACTTTCTAAGGTGGAGCAATTGAAAAAAATTTAATCTTTAGTTCTTCGAATATTAAATGAATTAAGGATTCTTTTAATTCTTCAAGAATTATATATTTTTTACATATGTCAAGATTATACCTTTTTTATCCTGTCTCAAACCCCAAAATAAAATACCTTGATTATTTACTCAAAATAACTCATGGTCATTACCAAAAAGACCAAATTTTGACATTACTTCCGTTTAAAATTTTTTAACAATGTCTTTATCTTTTTGATACACCCATATCTTTCTTTGAGTCATAAATTCACAACATTGTCTTTTTAGACTCAAATTGACATTTTAAACTCATGGTCATTACCAAAAAGACCAAATTTTGACATTACTTCCGTTTAAAATTTTTTAACAATGTCTTTATCTTTTTGATACACCCATATCTTTCTTTGAGTCAATAAATTCACAACATTGTCTTTTTAGACTCAAAATTGACATTTTTATACCATTAAAACCCAAGGCATTGAGTTGTTCATTTGAACATGAGCATTCTTCTAAGACACAACTTGGGGCATCTCACAGGGAGCCTGAACATTGAGACATATTGGGGGCAAGAAGCAAAAAGAATAATTCACTCGAAATAATTTTGAAAATTAATCCTGAAAGTATATCCCCCTGGGGATACCTCTTCTGTGAAAGCTTCCATGTATGAAATGATGAATGACTTTCTTTCTTTACCCCTTCACAACAGGAGAAAATATATATCCCTTGTGTCCCCTTTTGAGCCTATAGTATTTTTCTTCTGATTCAACCCTAACCAAGAATCACCCTCCACACTGGGGGGCAAGGTGGAGAGAATTTGCTCGCATGAGTGAAGACATTGATTCAGATGAGATACCGAAAGGTGAACCAAATGCTAAGTGCGAAGATTCAATCAAGAACAAAAGGAGAAAATAAAAGAAAATAAAAGGAGAAAAAACAAAGGAAAATTGAAGAAAAAAGAAAACAAGATGCATATGCAAAGATTCTCTCGATTCAAACGACGCATCGAGATTCAAACTATGAGATTGATCAAGCACAATCATTTCTGAATCACTGAATCACTCCACTCGAATATCATAGAGCATCAAGAGAGAGACATATACGAGTATATTCAAATTGAGTAAGATATGATTGAAGACATCAGAATGAATTGATCTTTGGTTCAATCACACTTAAATACTTGTTTGGGCCTTTTATCCCTTTCTTTCATAACCATGAACAATGACCTACGTTACGTGCCTTAAAAGTCTCTTCTAATCATACATGGATTTCTAAACAGAAGAGACTATCTTCAGATTTCATCCCACCCATCAGGATTAATCTTTATTTGCAAAAAAACAGTGTAATTAATGTATGATAGAGAAAAATAGAAAAAGGGGGTTCAAGATGTAAATTATGAATGACATCTTGAAACCAAAGGAGGATTCGAGTTGAAAACCTGAAAAGGTGGCTCGAATACAAAATTTGGGCAGCTGAGGTGATCGCACAAATTCCTTGATAAGGCATCGCACAATCCGAGCGTGACCATGAAAGCTGTGAATCGGAGAACACTTCCAATAGAGGAGCATGCAAGCTACCCCATCAAACCTTTGAGCATCAAGTAAACAAAAATGCCAAACCTTTGACCAAACACAATAACCTGAGACTTTTTTATCCTTTTCTTACTTAACCATTTCCCAAAAATAGATTTGATCTTGGCACGTGTCAAATAGCTATAATTTATTGAAGGATTAACAATGTCATTAATTCTTTGATATCCAATGAACTCTAGTTTTATGATTTGTCTCAATTGTAAAACCGTGAAAGGGGCAATATTTTCAAAACTTTTGATTAAACATTTTTCGAAACTCTTTTTCGATGTTTTCCTTTAAAAGAGAAAGAAACACATTTTTTTTTCAAAACAAGACAATCTCTCTAGAGTGGATCTTGGTAAATGACATGTGGCTCTTAAACACAAAGCTCATGCTTAGAATCAATGTTGAAGCAAGAAATGAGGAACAATGAGAGCATCTTTAAAGATTCAACATCAAATGCTAGGGCATTTTTTGAGATTTAACATCAATTTTTGGGGCATTTGTTGAGATTCAACATCGAATATTGGGGCATCTTTGGGAATTCAATATCCTTATATGAATTATCAAATCTTCCGAAGGTCTTTCCTCCACGTGCAAGAACCAGTAGACAAAAATTGAGATTATGTCCGATGAATAAAACAATAACTAATTCATTATGCATGCATTGTAGAGCATCATTTTTTTCACATGCATAATTTTTGTAGCTTTAGAGTTAAGTTTCAACTTCAAGACGAAAGATACTCGATTCAAAGCATATTTAGAAATTGATGGTGGTTGCTCAACTTCACAGTGAAGGGGCAATTGTCTGTCGATAAATAACTTTCCAATTTCATTCAGAGTCAATTTCAACTTCACATCGAAGGATATTGTACTTAAAGCTACACAATTTGCTCAAGAGTAGATTTCAACTTCACGACGAAGGATATCTAGCTTGAAGTCAAACTTCACAATAAAGGGGTCATCCACGGTTTCAACTTCATGGCGAAGGGAATCGTGTCCACCCGCAACATACAATACTTGGATTTCAACTTCACGGCAAAGGATATTCAAGTCAAGG